GAAAGTACTTTTTGTAGTTTGGCTACATCTGGAGTTTTCTCAATGTTTTCACAGTGAGACTTCCAGGTTCTTCTGCGTGATTTCCTTAATTCTTTATTGTATGCGGTAAGGGCCTTTTTATATTGGTCCCACTGTCCAGAAACTTTTACTCGATTGAAAAGTTTCCGAGTTGTTTTCCTTAGCTTATTCAAAGTTCTATTCCACCAAGGAACATCTCTGTTTGAGAGTTCTTCCTTGACTGGACAGCTCGCTTCATACGCTTGTATGATTTTTCCAGTGATATTTTCTGCTGCTTTGTCCAGTTGTCTGATTGATTCTATTTTATCGTCCAATTTTATATCTACAGATCGCATTTTCAACTCGTAACTTTCCCAGTTGGTAATCCTAGGATTTCTGTAGGCTACTTTGAATAATTCACCAGCATTGTACTCAAACACTATATGTTTGTGGTCAGATAAAGATTGTTCATCTGAGACATGCCAGTTTCTAATATTTGTCGAAAGCATAGGACTACAAATTGTCAAGTCCAATACTTCTTGTCTTCTTTTTGTTGTAAATGTAGGTTGATCTCCTTTGTTACATATATCGATGTTATTCGAAGATATGTATTCAAAGAGGTCTTCACCTCTTTTATTAGTATCGGTGCTTCCCCAAGTTATGTGATGGGAATTTGCATCACATCCAATGATGAAGTGTTTGTTGTTCTTTTTGCAGAAGTTAGTGAAGGCTGCTAATTCGGGTGGAGGAACTGTATCCACATCCCCAGGGAAGTAAGCCGAAGCTATGTAGGCTTCAGTTTTTCCCCGGGTTGTGGGAATTTCCATTCGAATTGCAACTAAATCTTTGGTAATATATTGTGTTATAGGTACGAATTTGATCCCCCCTTTTATTAAAATCGCTGTCCGAGGTTTTGGATTGCTTTCATCATAAATTAGCTTACCTGCCTGTGTGCCTATTCCAAGAACTCGGTGTTTATGAGCCCACGGCTCTTGTATTAGCGCCACGGTTATATTTTCCTTCACGAATCTTCGACAAAGGACTCCGGTTGCCCCTTTGGCATGATGAAGATTTATTTGAATAAATTTTAAGTTAGTACTCATTTTTAATTTTTTTTTTTTTTTTTTTTTTTACTGCTTCTGGTTCTTTGATGACCCAGAGAATTTACGGTCCTGTAGAGGCCCAGAACTATCTCGGCCCTTTGGATGCCCAGATATGTTCCGGTCCTTTAGAGACTCAGAGTAATTCCGGTCCTTTGAAAGCCCAGATGACTTACGGTTCTGTGGAGGCCTAGAATCATTTCGGCCCTTTGCATGCCCAGATATATTCAGGTCCTTTAGAGACCCAGAAAAAATCCAGTCCTTTGAAGGCCCAGAAAGATTCTGGTCTTTAGGAGGCCCAGAAATTATCTGGTCATTTGGAGGCCCACATGGGTTCCTGTCCATCGGATGCCCAGAGTGATTCAAGTCCTTGGAGTTTTCTTGAAGGTTTTGATCAGGATTTTGGTTGGTTTTGGAGGACATTACTCCTGGCAAGTTTCCGTCAGTTCCACTTGTTCCCGGGACACTAAGATCGTCTTTGTTCCCAGAATTCTGGCAACTTTCCGGCTTCTTGCCTTTGAGATCGTCACTCGAATCAACCATCCCCTCTGAATCGGGTTTGTACATACCTTTTTTCCGTAGAGTTGTTTGCCCAAACTTGAAGTTGATGAGGAAATTACATGCTTTAAAATGTTGCATGGACGCCTCATCCACAGTGAAGAACCACTCAACGTGTTTCTCATAGAGAGTGTTACGTTGAATTATCCTCCATTTGCTGGTGCTCAAGCCATCGTTTTGGCTCTCTATGAAAACCCGGATAGTGTCATTATCGTCGTTCACGCTTTGAGGGAAAAAGCCAATCATCACGTCTAATCTTGGGATGTCGTCCGCGTCGATTACCGTTAGTTCCACGCCTTCCCATGGAGTAAGCATAGGAACTACAGAATCTAGCCAATCCGCCGTTTCCGTGTCTTGGCAATTAATCACTAGATGTCCAGTTCGTTGCCAACAGTTGATGAATTTCGGTTTGAAGGACTCTCTTCTTTGCTGTGTGACCTTTTGAAGTATGGCCTCCTGCACGACGTACATCTGTTCCATCGTCAATTGGATTTGTGGATAGTTCTTTGGCATAATTCCTACCCTTACCCATTTGGCCACGTCACTGTAGGTCGGATTTTGACCAACTGATTGCTCTTGCCTAATATTTTCCATCCTTTTATTCACAGACGTGTGAACCTGCCCCTTTTGCTTTTTGGGGATAGGTTTTCCGTCACTGTTGTTACTGCTGTTGATATTCCTTGGTCTCTTCGGTGTAGACACATTTGGGGGCAATAGTACCATCGAAAGCGCTTCCTCTCGACCATGCCCACTCAGCAGCAATTTCTTGAACCGCTTCTTTTTCGCTCCACTTAGCTTTGGCTTCAAGACTGGCCTTGACTCACTTTGTTGTCATGCTACACACTTAGAAAAATTGATGTAAATTTAGGTGCTCTGAGACTGACATATACACACTAATCCAGGCCTCCATCGTTCGGTAAATTTTGAACTACACAGCAAAAAATAAATTTTAATATTACATCCAAGAGGATGCACTTCAAACATGTCGAAAACCACATGTAATTTTTATGACCATAACAATAAACAAATGCAGTAAAAGCAGCGTAATGTCAGTTCATGCACTGTATTAATGATAATTTTGTCCTTTTTAGCGAGTAATATAACACCATATTTTCGACACGATTGAAGTGCATCCACTTTGATGTGATATTAAAATTAATTTTTTGCTGTGTACAGAACTGTTCGGTAAAAGTTTAAAAATCAGTGAAAAATCCAATTATTAGAAAATTTATTCGGAACTTGTACAGAATTTGTTCGGCTTACCCCATTTATTGATGAAAAATAAAATTTATAAATTTTCTTGATTTCTCACGTGTAACGGTCATTTGAAAATTTTACCGACTTGTTCTGCTGTTCAAAAACTCGGTAAATTCCTACCGACTTCGGTGATCTGAATTAAGTGTGTGCGAGCGTCAATTTTGACATAAAATTGAATCATAATAGACGTGAAATTCAACTCAATCAAACGTACTTTCGAACTTTTCAGTCTCGAGGCATTTAATTTTACATGATATGTTTGCCCAAGTAACATTGCAAGTTTTATCGAGGTTTTAAAGCATGCTTCAAGTATATATCATGGTCTACAGAACCCTCATAAAACCAAAATTGTTACTTGGGTTGTTAAAGTCTCACCTTTTATGTCAGAGATGGATTCCGTCACGTGTAGGATTGGATATTTCTAAGTGTGTACTAGAAGTAAAATACTTCAGTGCGTCACAACGCAACCTAAACATAGCGGAGAATTTCATGGAATGGGTCAATAGATCAAATTAATAACACATATGCAATGATTACATTTGATTCTACTTATTCAAAGTGGAAATTTTGGTTATGATTTGGTTCTACACACAAAAAGTTGTTATACATTTTTCTGCTGAATAATATAAAGTTTAAGGTAATGAAAACATAGACACTATTGTCAAAAAACTGATAGAAATGTAATTTTAAGTTTACCATCAATCTAGACGAAAGAACATGAGCATGAGCATGATTAACCGCCCACGGTTGCTACTCTGTTATTGCCAGATCAACTGTGATTACACAGTGAACCAATAGACGATGCTTGGGACTAGCAATCATCTTCAATGTGTAAAAACTGGTGATCTAAAACTAGGCAATACCAGCACTAGCCGCACCCGAACGCAGGTAAAGAAAGGAATGGGTAGGAATGTGTTGACGTGACACTCGCTTTGATGGAAGCCGAGAACACCTTTGCACTTCCACGAGGAATCACTGGGATATTGGGTAAGAGGGTTGGGATTGCAGCAGGGTTCGTTTTGGTAAACGATAACCTGAATTGATGTCCTACCGATATTCTGCTCTGTAACCAAAACCGTTTGCCACTAGACAAACGAGCTCCTTTTATTACAACACACCAATAATGGATTTGCTGTTATTCCAATGTATTCACATGAACAAATAAAGCGATTAACGAATCTTGAATGTAGAGGAGCTTGAGATTAAACTCAAGTTGTTCTACTCAGTAAGCAAAATGGTCGCGCTAAGGCCACCAAGCCCCTCATATAACATCATACAAGCTACGATCGCGTTGTTATTGTAACCATTCAAAACCGGCCGCGACGGTGACGTTGATGGCGATGTTAAGTTTCACATAACACACGATAATCAAGCAATGTTACTATAAGTCTCCTTAATATGATAGGACCTGGGCTTTATTCAAACTCAAACTCGACGGCGGTGCCCTTTACATAAGAATAAGCCTCTACGACCGATGATCTTTTAAACCTGGAGACAAAAAAGCGCTTGTCTTCATTAAATTCTACTTTTACGCAACGTTTGTTGTTTCGATTTGGTCCTTACGTAAGACGAGAACAGAATCCATAAAACTTTCACCCTTACTTCACAAAGTAAACTACGACTGACGTGATGATTTTACCAAGCTTGCATGTTCGATTTACCATCAATCTAGGCAAAAGATTATGGTAAATTACCGATACAATTGCATTCTTGTTCAATTCTGTGTTCAATGTTTATATTATCATAAAGAATATGATGGCACAAAACAACGTTGAAAGTACAGGTTCAAATAATCATCAATTGCCGTCAGGTACATGGCAGCCTTTCTTAACGGTTTTGCTATACTGTTGGTATCCATTCCATTTCGTACATCAATTCGGCCCTTTTCTCACAATCGGCTACCAATTGCAATATTTAAAGAGTTTTAAGGCACAAACTCTTCTACTGCGGAGTTCCACGGAACCCGTATGTCCTTATGCTTCCATTCTTACAATCACAGTTTAAATATTAAACTTGAAAATCAAATCGAAAGGAGTTTCCATTCATTACGTTAAATCCATATGACGAATAATCCTTATCTTCCCTCAGATGGGTACGCGACAATATTCACAAATTTGGCGGTGATCCATCCCGAGTAACCCTGTTCGGTGAAAGTGCAGGTGCAGTTTCCGTGTCTCTGCACTTATTGTCGGCCTTATCACGAGATCTGTTCCAGAGAGCCATCCTCCAAAGTGGATCTCCCACTGCCCCGTGGGCTTTGGTGTCACGCGAAGAAGCTACGCTCAGGTAAGTGTCCTTGGAATTAAATGGTTTGTTGTGGATTTTCTTAAACTGATAATTCTATATAACAGAGCTCTTCGTTTGGCCGAAGCCGTCAACTGTCCCCATGATGCGACGAAGCTCAGCGAATCTGTTGAGTGTCTTCGTACCAAAGATCCCAACGTGCTGGTCGACAACGAATGGGGAACCCTGGGAATCTGCGAATTTCCATTTGTTCCAGTCGTTGATGGGGCATTCCTCGATGAAACACCTCAGCGATCGCTGGCTAGTGGCCGGTTCAAGAAAACGGACATCCTGACTGGAAGCAACACCGAGGAGGGTTATTATTTCATTATCTACTATTTGACTGAACTTCTGAGGAAAGAAGAAGGCGTCACAGTTACACGGGAAGAGTTCCTGCAAGCGGTCAGAGAGCTAAATCCATACGTGAATGGAGCCGCTAGACAGGCGATTGTCTTCGAGTACACCGACTGGACTGAGCCGGAGAACCCCAACAGCAACCGGGATGCGCTGGACAAGATGGTCGGAGATTATCACTTCACGTGCAACGTCAACGAATTTGCCCAACGGTATGCCGAGGAAGGCAACGACGTGTTCATGTATTTATACACCCACAGAAGCAAAGGCAATCCTTGGCCTAGGTGGACCGGTGTGATGCACGGTGATGAGATCAACTATGTGTTTGGTGAGCCGCTGAACTCTGCCCTCGGGTACATGGAGGAAGAGAAGGAATTCAGTCGAAAGATCATGAAATATTGGTCCAACTTTGCTAAAACTGGGTAGGTTTTTACGTAAGTTCTAGGTGATGTAAAGATTTTAATACTAAACTTTTACCTTACTCCCGAAGCAATCCAAATCCAAGTCCTCCAAATTCTGACCTTCCGGAGTGGCCGATGCATAGCGCACATGGTAGACATTATCTAGAACTTGGACTCAACTCAACCTTTGTGGGCCGTGGGCCACGATTGCGGCAATGCGCGTTCTGGAAGAAATACTTGCCGCAACTAGTAGCAGCTACCTGTAAGTGACAACAAATTGTGCATCTATTGTGCAATGATTTTCTCATGTTTTCTGGATTTTCAGCTAATCTACAAGTAACTCCTGCACCTAGCGAACCCTGCGAAAGCAGCGCAGCATCCTATCGACCCCTTCTATTTTTGATAGTATCGCTAGTGTTAGTGACCCGTTTCAAGATATAAAATTTTCTATTTTCGATAGGCTTTCTAGGTCGGTTCAAAGTAGAATGATGGTTGAAGAATAACAACAATACTACTATTAATGCTAATGCTACTAATTAATAAATGAAATGGAACAATAAAGCTAGATTTTACTGAATTTGTCCACAGTTTATCGATCCTAAGTAAACATCTCGCTCCACGGTGAACGTATTGTACAATTGTGTTTTATTATTTCCCAGCAACGTTATGTAAGACAGAGGTGATATCATCGATATTTTACTACTCATACAATAAAACAAAGTATTTCCTGTTATAAATTGTGATGAGATTTTCGCTTTAAACTACACCAGTAAAACGTTACTTAAGTTCAAATATTAACAAGAATTTTATATAAAACAAAACTAATTAAAACAACAGCTGCTAGAGACAAGTAGACATTAAATCGAAAACGGTTATTTTGAAAGAGTGAAACGATTTATGACACTAGCAGAATCCCCTTATAAACTTGAGAAAAAAACAAAATGGCAAGAGTGTAATGATACAATAAACCCAAACATCTAATTCTAACAATCAACTGTTTACTTTATTGAAATTTGAACAAACTTTCTATTTAAGATACACACACACTACGCCATTGCTAAACACAAAGACACACACACACTTACACGAGACATCCGATCGTCGATGGAATGGAATTGTAGATGACCGTTGCAAAAAAAAATAGGAAACAATAGTTAATGTTAGATAACCTACACCTAAAACAGCAACTGAAAAAGATGATGAAAATGACACCTTCAAAGTAATCGAAATAAGAGGAAAAACTGAAAACATATCATTATATAATGTAACTCCGTTGTAAGCTATTGACAGAAAGAGAAAAACAAATGAAATCACCCAAGTGTAGTTAAATATTTCTATACAATTTATGGTGGCCAATTTTAATATGATAAAAACAGCAGAAAGCGCTAAACAAGAGAAAAAAAGCCCAAACACAACTAATGAGAGAACAAATGTGAAGTGGATTAGGGAAACCAGCTGTTTACCGAATTCCTTTTAGCTGCAAAAAAGAAGAATAAGCCATTCTTCTACACAATATTAAGACTAAGAGTAACGTAGAATCCACATATTAGAGGAGGAATAACAAAAAAACGAAAGAGAAAACACAAATAAATATTAAAACAAAAAACCAATGCGACTGTGTTTAGGCTGCGACGTTTGGATGTAAAATTTCTTTGCTAGTTGCACACATTCTCACGAAAAACACTAGAATCTAAATGAACAAAAAAAAAATCGATAATGAAAAGAAGTGTAGTCTTTGGTTCCCCCAAAATGTGAAACTCTGCCCAGGAAAAAAATGAACTATAAAACCATTGTGATGATTTCCTTTAAAGAAAATTCAAGACGAAAAGAATATATATCAAAATTTAGCTCGCCGAAAGTTTGTCCCCTGTCTAATGATTTTCAGGATTGATAAGTAATTTTGTTTAGAAAATGTTCCTACGTCAATTCTGCAGAAAAGAAAAGCTTCATTATCCATGAATTTCATATTCTACCCTGTTCTTATGCATTTTTTTTTTTCTGCGACGGGATTTTCGTCATTCAAAATTTAATTCCATCGTAAGACTGCTGAAGGTTGCTTGAGTTGAACAACAGAACCAAATGCTATCCAAAAGCAAACAATCGATGGTAGTTTCTTACAAAAATCTTATTTAATTTACTTAACAAATATGGATCTGTGAAGCTTCAGCTTAGGATCACAGTTGCTAGAATTATCACGTAACTTTTTTAATGGTTCTCAATTACTTATGGTATGGCGCAAATTTCCAAACATCCCAAACGTTTTGAATAACCTGGTATTTAAGCTCATTCTGAACTCTAGAACGATAACTTTGACCGTTAAAGGTAACAAGGTTAATAACTAAGAACTTAGCTAAAGTATCTCATAAACAATGGAAAACTGATTTTAAAAATCTGTTGTCGTAATACGGTAGAGGACCAGTTGGAATCAGTTCACCCATATTCTCAATTTCTTTCGAACCGAATTTTTCATACAAAAAAAAGGTTTTTTGGTATTTCAAATACAGTTTGAACGTAAACGAGAATATGGGTGTATTTAATTGATAGCAATGTGTAAACGAAACTGCATATATCTGGATACGAATAAGCTTCTTTTGATCTACAAGAACTTACTTGCAGAATACGAGAATACAAAATAATTTTCGCGGACAAACGACAAATAAATATCGCAGTAGCAGAAGCAATTATTGATACAGCTTGATATCAAATCTTTGTTTATTATTATGTCACTGTCAGCTGGCTTCACATTTCCAGACCACTTACCACATTTAGTGTTCATAAAAATATGAGAGACTTAGAATTTTGGACTGACTAACAACTGATGAAAATATGCGCTCCTGATTAAAGCGTTGACTACCATATCTACTGAAATGACTACACAAAGATTCTCTGGAATATATTTATCTTATGCCAGAATATACTCAAACATAATATGACGTCAAGTATCTGTAATTCTAGAAAGGACGAACATGTTATAACGAATAATTTGAGAATGGCTATTCCACAAATTTGACATTTAATCTACCGATTAACTGCCCAATCTGAGAAATGACATCCAAATCAGAATAATGTTGCGAAACTGTCAACTTAAATTTGATTAACCTTTATTTATTTATTTATTTTTTAAATTGCAAAAACTATTTGGAAGGACCTCACCATGTAAATTTGATCATGGTTTCCGTAGTTTTGGTTTTCTCTACGTTTTGCATCTCATTTCGTGATTGACCGGAATGATCTGTAACAAGCCTGATTTCGATTGCACTTCCCAAACACATCCTTCTTAGCACACAATGGATCCTTTTTTTCCGGTTATTTAAAAACCACTTTCACGTAGATGACTATACCAACTACCGAACATATGGTGGATATGGTGGTTACACGCGGCAATATAAGAAACTTTTACTTAAATTCAACGGCCCCAAGGAAAAATTCTTACCGAAGCGAAAACGTGACAGCCAAATCGAAAATCAACCACTCTCGAGCAGAGCCTACTACACAGCAAAAAATAAATTTTACTATTACATCCAAGAGGATGCACTTCAATCATGTAATTTTTATGGCCTCAAAAATAAACAAATGCAGTAAAATCAGCGTAATGTCAGTTAATGCATTGTATTTATGATAACTTTGTCCTTTTTGGCAAGTAATATTACATATTTTCGACACTATTGAAGTGCATCCTTTTCGATAAAATTAATGTTTTGTTGTGTAATTCTCGAATAAAATTACATCCATTGATGTAATATTGTATCTGATTTTTGCTATTACACCATTACTTCATTCATCAGCTTGAATTCCGTTGATCGATATTTCCTTTTTTCACTGTGTAGAAGGAGAAAAGGAGACAAACTTGTCTGCACAGCAAAAAACTGTAATATCGATCAACGTAATTCAGGCTAATGTATGAAATAATGACGTTATAACAAAAAGTAGGTCAATATTACATCAATTGATGTAATTTTTTTCGCAAAAACGATGTACATCGTACAACGTAATATTACACAACCAGCGGAATGACCTCTGTGCAGCTTTTTTTTCTGTGTGGGTTCTTTTTTTACCGTGTAGATTATTCCTCGAGAAAATAGTAAAATCGACGTAAGTACATTTACAATCAATGGCTTCAAACTTTAGAGACCAGGGGATCCCAAAAAACATACATGCCTAATCTATTGGCTCAGAAAGTAACACATCATCGGTCCAGGAACCCCTCATTTATTCTGTCAAGTTATTACAGCGAATCAAAATCAAAACAAACTTTGACAGATTCTAGTACGAGAATGGGGAACGCTCATCAATGTACTTGGGACCAATGGGCTATTCAAGCAATGAGCTAATTTAAAATTGTTAGTTTCGAATTGATTGTTGGCAAGGCGGCACAGTAGCAGGTCTATTACTATGAGTATCTATAGTTCAAACGCTAATTCATTGAAACCAGGCCAGTGACAAGGCCTATACCAACAGCAGCGTTTGACAGTAGGCAGCATGTCCCGGGCTCAAATCGTTTATTTTGCTGTGCTGGGCCCGCGTCACCGTCTAACATGTTGCCTACCAGCCTGCCACTGGGCTGATTGAAGCTGACTGCTAGCCCACTATAGTCGCTATATTCATAGTCTGGCGGATAGAATCTCGGGAACCAATTGAGCTGTCAAGTAGCGGAATCAATCGAGAATCAATGTGAACAAAACTTCGGAAACCATTTTCTCGTTCTCGCCTACGAAAACTAACACCATCAACTTTGGGTTGAGGAAAGTTTCCCCTATCCGATGATGCCGGCAGTTTGCGTTCGTTTGGCGAGGAAAGAATAATCAACGTTGTGTTTATAAAAGTTGAAAGTACCTTTTCAATTGTTGGTCTACAATATATTGAATTGATTCCGCTTTTTGATAGATCGAAATTCTATCCACCAGACTATGAATATAGCGACTATAGAGCCCACGCAAGCGAAAACCAATGGTATGTAACCAGGTAAGGCAATGTGAATTTAAAGTATCTAAAATTTAAAGAGAACGAAAGAGACGACATTACATCGCGCCTTCAGGAAGGTGAAATTTCCCGTTGGTGATATTAATTTTAACGTGGGCATTGATAAATTGTCGTTTGAGGCTATTATTTATTGATGAACTTACGTCGATTTGACTATTTGCTCGAGATTTCACCGCATGTGCATGCCACACATTAAAATGCGCTTGACCTTTTTCACGGATTCTTAATTTGCACGACTCGAAGTGGATTAATTTTTGGATAGGTTTCGTCGATCAAAAATCGATTAACTGAATTCGCTTTCTTCCATGACCAGAGCAATAGTTTTGCAATAATCATCCATTCAATCTTGAATGTACACTTGGAACTGGTGTTTGTGTGCATCAATATTGCAAATCCACTGCTCAAATCGCAGTAGTAATCGTAAAAATTCAATTTTTAATCGATGAAAAGTGATATGACCTATTGAAGAATCAATCGAAATGAATTATTATATAAATTCCACTGAATATGGAACTCAAATTTGACATGAACTCTGCGGCCATGTATGACTTCAGCGATTATTAACGCACCAATAATGTCTACCAGTGATTTTAACAAAGTTTAACTATTTTAGTCACATTTTTAGGCAAATAAGCTCTCATAATTTGATCATGATTCAAGGTTTGAGCAGTAGTGAATGTCATTATAAACTGCTTTAATGTAGTGATTAAAAGGATTAGCATAACAGTGTTTTTAATATCTCAAAAACTCAAATCTAATGCTTGAAGTTTTGCATTGAATATTTCAAATGATTAATAATCACACAATTTCAGGTTCAAAAATGGATTGCTCTATGGTTTGACAAAATGTCTTTAGTGTTCATTTTTGTAAGATCCGATAGAAAACTCACGAAACATACATGAGCATGCTATCAATTGACGTTTGAGTCTCAAATAATGGGGTTTGATTGCAGATTCTAACGTTTCGAGAATGATTTCCCTAACACTTAGCATGTGCATGATTGACCGCCCGTGGTTGCTACTCCGTTATTATCAGATCGCTTTTAATTATATTGAGAAACAACAGTCAATGCTTGGGACTTGCAATCATCTTAACTGAGTGGTGATTCCATTGGTGTATTAAGAAAAAATCTTCAACGAGATCGAAGAAATTTATATCAATTTACGGTCGGGTGAAGGTGTTCAATATTTCAGGTGTATATAAATGAGTCTTTAGCCAAGATAAATTTGTACACGTTTAGGAAAACATCATTCAATTTTGGAGAACTTCGCTGAAGTTCGGGAAACTTCTTTAAAATTTCGTGAAACTTCGTAAAATCTCGTAAACGTTGTAGAACATTGTCGAACTACAAAAAAAAATCGTAGAAGATCAGGAAACTCCTTAAAGTTCTGCATACTTTCTAGAACAGCAGCATATTGTGTAGGAGTTCAGCAAAGTTTGTAAAAGCCTAGTGAACTTCGTACAAGTGTAGACAATTTTATAGAACTTCGACCAATTTTGAAGAAGTTCGGTGATCATATCATTAAACTTTGTAGTAATTTAGAGAACTTAGAAAATTATGTAGAAATTCAGGGAGCCTCATTAAAGGTTCTAGCATTTTTTATAACTTCATTAAACTTCGTTAAAATTCAAGGACATCAACAAAAGTCAGTGGGCATAGTTGAATATCGTTAAAGTTGAAATGAGCTAGGGATAGCTCGTGAAATACTGCAGAAGTTCAGGAAACTTCTTACAACTTCAGGGATCTTTGAATCAGTTTAGAGATCTTCGTTGAAATTTTTCAGAGAAATTATTAAAAAAAAAACTCAATAGAACTTACTGAAAGTTATCCCAGAAGTTCGAGGAGCTTCCCACAAGTTCTAGGCACTTCATAAAAGATAAGTAAACTTTGGATAAGCTCAATGCAATGAATAGAAGATCAGGGAGCAGGAGAGGGAGAGAACAGATACTCATTAATAGGTATCAGTAAGTCATTAAGGTAAAAGTTGATAGAATCCTCAAATTGCCGCGATTTTAGTTATATTTTGCCTTGCCACTTAAAATGTTTGATGGCACGAATCTCAGAAACTATAAAGATTTCGTTTAGGAAATTGTAATTATATGTATGTATGCAGTGCAGAAAAATAGTGATAATAGTTTCGCACACGAAATCTTTATAGTTTCTGAGATTCATGCCATCAAGAATCGAAGTGGTAAGGTAGAATAACCAAAATAGCGGCCATTTGTGGAAAATTTAAATCCTATACCTCACCGTGGAAAATCTGCCTCTCCAAGCTTTTTTTTAAGATGGCCACGAGAGGCCTAATTTTAAACGCCTACATGCAATTATACGTAATAACGCGTCGTCATGGACTGCCGTCAATACCCACAAATAATCACAATATTCGAGTCGTTTGGAATTTCATCTACTAGCGCTCGAAGAAAATGTGTTAAAATTGATGCCGTACATAAACAATCGTAATATTTGAAAGCCTATTTTCATAAACCTTTTAGAAAGTCACGCCAGAACTGATGTGGTCCATGGAGGTCCAGTTCTTCAACTCAATGTCCAGTGAACGATGCTAAGTCTTGGTAACTCTGAAGGCGTTAATCTCCTTTTAGTTTATTGGATCGACAATAGCAATGACAGCCGGCGCCGGTGGTGTCGTGGTAAGCGTGACTGCTTCTCACCCAATGGGTGTGGGTTCAATCCCAGCCGAAATCGGTGGGATTTTTCTGAGGCATAAAAATCTCTGGTCACGTCACGAAGGAAAGTAAAGCCGTTGGCCCCAGCCCATGTGTGTTGTGTTTGAATGGGTGCGATATCCTACGCAGGTGTGGAAGCTGTCTTCCTGCACATCGATGGATGGCAATCGATGTCTGTCGGTGATTGGCACTAGAATGCGGAACAGAGACCGACGTTAAATAAAGGAATGAAGAAGAAGAAGACAATAGCAATGACGACTCCCTCGACGCCATTCTCGAAATCTTTTACATCTGAGCGGTTAAACAGTGAGAAGTAGGTGTGATGGTATCCCAATATGGTGGTGTAACGGCAATATAAAAGTGCACGATATTTCAACTTCCCTATTCCTCTAGGAATTTGACAGATTAAGAGATGAAATAGCCTACGGCTAAACATCTAAAATATAATGTTTTAAATAAAAAAAAATTAAAAATTTTAAAGATTGTTGTCAAAACCATGTAAACAAACCACCCCAATCTGCCAAATTCCTATGAAGAAAAAGTGAGGTTAAGACACCGTACATTTTACTATGGTGTAACGTCTTGGCAACTCCTGCTGATACAGACCAGTCTGTGAAGAATCACCACAAATGTTTATTATGTTGCAAAGTAGACCTAATAATTAATTGAAAATAAAATGCCAGGATTAACGAGCCGTTCGGTATTCGCAGCATTACGATATATGCTAGAACATTTTTTATTACTTTTAGATGGCTGTAACTTTAACGCTGTAGTCTGCTTGTGCGAGGTGCAAAAACTTCATGGAATGCACCTTATAAGGTCTTCTTGGTCGGTTTCGCTCTACTTTACGACATGAAAGCTGGTGTTCAACTAAGTAATGGTAAACGTGTTGACGGACGACGGACCATGCTCTACACATTGTGGGAAGATTTCAGAACACAATTCACTGATCCATGAACCCTTCTACAAAATATCCCCTGAACAACTGCCCTACATTTAAAAATTCGCATGAAAATGCATACGACAACGTAACAGTGTCCAAAATGTGCGCTCTTGAAATTTTAAGTGTCAGCCATAATGACAGCCATTTTTTTGGGTTCTGCAAGGACCATCGGAGTCGCTCAGAATCTAACGTATTATTTTGGATAACGTAAAAATTAAATGAAATAGCATTTTATAGCGTAATATTCAAGAGAAACATAGAGTCTGAGAATTATCTGCATTTTTAATTGGTAAAAGCAAAACCTGTTTCTAAATTTACTTAACATGATTAAAATATCCCTGATTCATTTCGAACATCTTTCGGCGAGCAAGGACCAATTTTCGAACAATATAAGCTAAACCTGTGAATGATCTGTGAGCTGATTATGTGTAGAAATGAAGATTAAAGAACAAATCATAAAACATCTGTGTTACTCGAAAGTGCAATGCTGATATTTAACGCTTCGAAGCAATTGGAATTCTTGTTCAGTTTTTCGATATTGTAGTACTCAAACTTAGCCCTCACGTAAAAAAAAAAACAATGTTTAGTTCGCGTGCTAGCTTAGTAGACCAATGGATGTAATGCTTCAGCGCAGAAACAAAACAAAACAAAAACTAAACAACCCATTGACTAGAACGCGGCATTTTTCTGTGACAACCATGTGCGAAGAAGAAAATGGCAAAAAGTACAAAATTGCAGAAAAACACCTTCACAAATTAGTATCGATAGAAGCGGTTTTAAGTAATTGGACAATTGGAGTAACCTATAGAAATCAGATTCTACACGAGAAATTACACTTTGATGTCTCTTAGAAGCCGTGCACAGAATGATGACCCATGACAAGAAAACCAGTTTCAGGACAAGTGAAGCGTGAAAACTGAAAATATAGTATGTATTGCCATTTGGTTTTTTGTAGTTGTAGAACCCGCGAGTAAAATTTATAGCACTCACCAATCAATTTGTCAAACAAATGAAGAAAAAAATCACTTTAAAAACAACGGAATCAACGATCGCTAAAATTAAGACATTAAGATGAAACTAAAGTGTAAGTTGAGCATAAGTCAATAAACACCGTTTAATACATAAGTAATGGACAACAACTAAATTTAAAAGAAAAAGCTAGCTTAGCTTAGTATCAGAATAACAACAAGAGAACGAGATGGGAATGGAAAAATGTTCATAATACATATCATTTAATCTTAGAATGTATAATCATTTTAGGAGACATATTTTTATTGAATAAATATAACATAAATAGCGGAGATGTGGGAGTAATGAACCACGCCATGTAACACTAAAGGCATGCTGAAGAAATGCTTCTCTATATCAATGATGAGTGCAGTTACTTCTGGCTCTCACTAAGCATTCGTTACCAATCACAATCACTTAGAATGAACGTTTAATGAATGTTTAACCTTAGCTTTCGATACATTATATTTTCGAGTGGAGGATGTTATTCACTTCACGGAACGAGATCAATATATTTGCGCTTACCAATTGCTCAATGTAATTTTTTTTTTATTTCTCCAAGCAATTCGTGCTAATCTAATAAGACGCGGTTTTAGTTGCCAAATTCACTAAATTTATGGCGCAAAGCTTTGAATGGTTATTCGAAAGATTTTAGTTTTGCTACATGTCATTGGAATGTTCCTGATTATTTTGTATGATTACAAATAGAATGTTGCAAAAATCCATTACCATCTTAGCGTGCAAAGGTATTCGTTATTGTTCATCGAATGCCGTTCAAAGATGTGATAGGTTTTGTCATCAAGCATCGCACGCAGCGCTCCCATCGCTTTTCCGCGAATTCCTTTCAACTTAATAATAGCGTAATATATATTTGGCCTAATAACGATAAACAAGAAATCTCCACACTCAACAAACCCAAAATATTACCCCTTATTCAAGCTTTCATTAAGTAGAGACGATGAACCTAGTAAGCAAAAAAAAAGGAAATCAACTAATCTTTATCTTCTAAAACCAAAACGGAAAACAAAACCTATAGCAAGATTTAAAAAATTACTTGATAATGCGGAATGATGACAAACACATGAAATGTACGGGCTATTAATGAGTAAAAAAATGAATAAACAAATGAATGCTAATGAAAATCAATAAAGTTTTATTAAATTAAAGCAAATAGTTTATTTTTGTTACCAATTTCTTCTTATACAAAAAGGTAAGAAATCTCTGCTATATTAATTATTTATTACAATAGATTTATGATGATTATACATATTAGAAAGCTAACTAAACCCTACTAATAAGTATGAAGAAAGAGAACGGAATGAAATGGCAAATACTAATAGAATTAAAATGTATTTAAATTAATTAAAAGTAATTGACACCTTGAATAACAAAAACTAAATGAATATATATTAAACATATAATGCTTTGTTAAATGTAAATGTTGTGTATAGGAAATAATAATACACAATTTTAAAAATATAAACCCCGCTGTTTGAAATAAAATAAGAGTAAGAATGAGAAATCCATGATTACTATTTAAATAAACGGACTTGGAAACACATCGAAATTCCAGGGATGCAAAGCCTCGAGGTCGAAGAAATTTTCAAGTTTATGTAGTCGTTAATTATTGAAAAAATTATCAAAATATTTTACTGTACAAAAAATCTCCACTCTATAGGCCTTTTAAGGGGTTACGCCGACCTGCAAACTTTCAAAAAATCGATTTTTTTTATTGTCCTAATTGAAAGTATATAAAGTCAAGAATATTTCCTCAAAAGATCAAGTTGATCCGATGAAAATTGTGAAAGTTATGCGACGTACAAAAATATTCACTTATAGTGGACTAAACCCAACTTGAAACTTTAAACGCGATTATCTCGGAATCATATTTTCAAAACCGGTGCCAAAAATTTCTCGAAATGTATACATTCGATTCGTCCGATTTGTTTTGATTTCTGTTCACTACTATTTTGTGCGATCGTTCGGATTTCGTCTATCATTTAATTTCGATTTTTTACAGCCGATCAAAGAAAAATTTTAAGGATCAAAAATCGGCACTTCAACTTTGCCAGGCCGCCATTTTGTCAAAAAAAAATTAAAAAAAAACCGAACGATCAAGGACTAGTTTAACACATGCTTAACGATTTGACATGTTTTTTTTTATTTCAGATGATTACATCACAAACCGCAGTTGGCACCGCAAAAAGCGTTTTTTAGAACATCGTCCACGGGGAGCAGCCGTGCACCAGGACCTCGTTTTTACAGCATCGACTGATAAATGTACCATTTAATGTGTGTTCAATAAACGGCAGAAAACCGATTTTCAATATGTTGCGTCGTTTTCGAGAAAAAAAATCCAAACTTTCGCTTTTTTTCGGTCTTGCAGGTAGGCGTAACCCCTTAATGCACCACCAACGTAGAGGGCAACACGCGAGCTCGAGAGGAAACGTCAGCCAAACCGTTTGTTTACATCAGAATAAGGATTTTTCACAACGCAAATTACAGCGTTTTTCATTGAAATTCTTGCCGATTTCCATCGGTAATTGTCTTATTTTACGATTTTCCACACATCTGAACTGAATTGCACCTAAACTATTCACACACAAGAAATCCGGAAGGTCATAACCACTAAGGCACTATTGGAATTTAGCATCTATCTCAGCAAAAATATTCTTGAACGCTAGCAGAATCCTTGCAAAAAAGATAAAAAATAAAAAATTTCAACTATAGATCAAGTTTTCGAGCATCTTATACCCCGGACAGTCTATGACTTATATCATGTAATATAGGCTGTCTTGCAATGAACACTAGTACATCTAGTTTTCACTGGAAATCCAATGTTGCAAGACAGCCTATATTACATGATATAAGCCATAGTCTGTCCAGGGTATTAGATGAATTAATTTATCAGGAAAAGTGAAAAAGTGTTCCGCTTCCAATGGCTCACGGATAAAATTTCTACTCACAACACTCTTTTTGATGTTCTCATATTCACCACCAGAGGTTGAATCGATCGCTTAGTTTCTATTAAAAAGGTGTATTTGATCCATGGACACATATCGCCAGCCTCGTAGTCTGCGATGGGTCCGCAGGACGCCTTCTACTTGGGCGGGGGGGGGGCAGCCAACGGCTGAAAGTCTCTTTAATAAAGATATAAAAAAAAATTCTACTTGGGCGATCCACCATGCCAGCTGCGCGCCGCTGTTGGGTCGCTTTCGAGAACCATTTTCACTGGATCGTCGTACGGCATTCTTACGACGTGCACAGCTCACCGTAGTCGCCCAATTTTTGCAGTGTGGACAAGTTTTGTCTGTTCCACGCTTGTCTGTATCGCTCCACATTCAATCTCGTGCGGTGTTGCAGCATTCTCGCCCGTGCTGCATTGTTTTCCTCTACCAACAGTTTGCATTCGCCGTCAAACCAGTAATTTCTTTGGTTCGGGATCGCAGTACTTAGAGCCGCTACAGCAGTACTACCTATGGCGGAATGGATGTCCCTCCAGCCACCTGGCATCCCGTAATTGCTCAATGTTGGGTCGCGGCGTTTGACTTCCACGGGTGCACATCGTAGATTTGAGCGCATGCATACTACAACCAACCGTGTAAGCTACGGCTTACTTGCCAGCCTATAGCTGGCCCGTTTTTACCCCGGGCGGCCCCGAGCAAGGGTACTTCCCCCAAAGACGTTCGGATTTGGGTGAATCAACAAAACAACAAGAAGGAATCAATTTTAGAATCTATTATCTACTTAACTTTGCCCTCTCCTCCTCGCTGCTCTTCGGTGGGGCCCTTCGATGACGGTGGCAGCGGCGGTTGCTGTTTCTGGTTCCACGTTCACGTCGGCACGGACTGTGCCAACGTACCCTCTTCTTCTTCACTTTTGGCTGCCTAGCAGCCGTCCTTTACTTTTAGCGGGGGGGATGAGCTAGGCTCCTTTTTCGGAACCCCCCCGCGACGATGGTGACGAATCACCGAACCGATCAACTCCATGCAGACGGTCCTGATAGCCACCGCAGTGGACTATCCAGGGGAACGCTCCTTCGGTTCCACCTGTCTCACTCTCCTTGACTATTAGCAACAAAGGGGAGTCTGGCTCGTTCGGCTTACCCTTTGTTGCGAGAACGGCGAGCGTATTCCGGATCCTTGTCGTTTAGCCGGGGAAGCGAAAAGATCCTTGACGATTAGCTTCCCAGCAAAGGCGATCCTATGATCTACTGTTCCTCGTTCCGATACCACGGCCGGCACTTTTCGGGGGATCTCTACTTGTTTCACTCGCGACGGTGCTGGGAATACATCGATCAGGTGACGCGCGTCACGGTAAACGGCACAAATTTCCTTTTTTGCGGAAAATCACCGGACGGGGCAAAAAAACGCGTCTTATTCCTTTCGTGGTTCAAACCAGGGGTTGAAACGGTTGACGTTTTTTAATACACTCGCTTCGTTATCGTGTACGACAGTCTGTTTGTATTCGAACACTCATGCTCTACCGTCGTCTCTCTCACACAACACGAGCGGTAGAATAACATTCGAGCTAAAAGAAAATAATCAAAATAGCTATCATATGACATGTGTGATTTCGTTGTAATTCCTCAATTTGGTGTAAATCAAACCATTTCTGATCAGAAATATTATTACTAGGACATCATTGCTTGCTATTTTCAGAATTCACACAAGCACACCATCAGCAGCTTTTATTATGAGAAAAACTAAAATACATATATTCGTGACGGTCTTCGGCGACAGTGTCGTATGACAGAGCCTGTCATACGACATTTTAGTTTGGTACTGTACTATGATAGCTTGTTTTGCAAGTGTCGGAGGCAAAGGCAGTCAATTATCACAGAAAATGTGTCGACTACCGTGACCGCTTACAAGACTGGTTCAAACTGTTCTCTCCGGTTCTTTCACGTCACAAAACAAAAACAAAACCGCCGTCGCCCCTGCAACCGTGCTCGATACATTTATGTTGCTTTTTTATGATTTCGCCTTCTTTGCAGCGGGAGGAGCTTTTGGGACCTAACTTTATTTTGGACGCGATACAACTTAAAACAATATTTTTTTCCTATCTAGTTAAACTTAGAGTCGGTGTATAATGAGTCACGCCAAGAGTGAAGCCAAGTCTACCTATTGAACTGTCAAACCGGCTACCTATCGTGCAAAGTAAACAAGCATTACGATGCTTGTTTACTTTGCACGATAGGTGAAAAGGTTGAAAGGTCCACGAAAGGTATTGCAATTAAATATAAAATATAACCGAAGAAATGATCATATACACGCAGTGAGCATTACATATTTTATGCGATACATTTTGTAATGATCAGTAATGACAATTTCTACTATTTTTCTTTAAGATAATCCGACAAAATCACTGATTATAATGATTTACTACAGCCGTTAATTTTTTTCCTCGCTAGAAGTCATTTGAAGTTGATGCAGAAGTCCTCTGTTGCCAAGTTAAAAGAAAGGGAATCTTTCGAAAACCGTGATGCGAGTTCAACTGTTTTTCTCTTGGCGTGACTCATTATACACCGACTCTAGTTAAACTAACAACATAAAAAACCGAATAAAATAAAGTGCAAAATTTACAAATTAAAATCCGGGACGGGACTTGACAATCGAGCTTCTCACTCTTCTTAATGTTTTTGAAGAATACCCTTCGGAAAGTTGTGTGTGGTGTTTGACGGAGTTGACCAATGATGCCAGGAATGTAAAATATTATTCTATTTTAATTTGGATTTTATTCGGAGTTTCTACCGCAGTTTAGCAGCTTGTACATCATTTTTGTTCAACACAATAAAAACAACCATAAACCAACAACAATATCCATTGCTTAAAACAGGCAGTGCACTGGATTTTTCAACTTTCCTTTCGTAAATATAAATAATTAACAACGCCATTGACGTCAACATTGACTCCGGCATCACTGCCAGCCAGATTGATACGATCCCTGCTTCCTTTTTATTCCACGATTGCTACTGTCAAATCGACCAATCAGAAACTGGCTCGGATTTGACAGAAAATTGGCTCGAAATCGCTACCCGATTGTCAAGTCCCGTCCCAGATTAAAATTATACACGAAGGAATTGAGTTCTCCAAGCAGGATCTCACGAACACTACAGTAATAACATAATTTTTCACACACTAGCGTATACTGGCATGTGCACGGTAAGAATCAAACATCCATTTATGAGTAAAAGTGAACCCATTTTCAATAAAAGCGGCACCACTTATTAATGAGTAATTCATTATGCCAATTAAGTAGTAACTGTTAGCTACTGTTAGCAGAAACTTATTGTTGTTAAAATAATTTACTCATTAATGAGTAAAACCACCTTTATCAAAACTAGGTTAACCTTTACTCACAAAAGGGTATTTGACTGTTACCGTGCAAGCGTAGGGTTTGTTTTCGTTTTGTTGTTTATTTTTACTTTAGAATGACAGTTCTAACAGCAAACAAAAAATTTCTCACAGCTAACAAAAAAAT